TTCCACGCAACCTCAGTTCCCACAAATCCTCCAGTCATACTTTACCGTGACAATAACTTTATGATCACGCCTAAGGGTAACCCACCCACCAGCTGGGAATAAACCTTGTTATTACTTGTTATATCCACGTGCCCACATTATTTGTTCCGGGGTGCAACAGACTGAAAGCCATGAGGTTAGAGTGAAATACAAATAATGATGCTTTGTACCGCCGAGTGGAGGTTATGAATGACAGTGAATTCAGCTGCAGGGTATAAATAAGGATGCACCCTGACCCTTCTTGGATCTATATATAGCTTCTGCTACAGGCGTCACGTAGAAATCAGGCTTGTGTCCTACTAAGCTCAACCATACCAGAATAGCTGATGAATGGTGGCCAAGCCAATGTACTGTCCAGTGTGGTCAACCTACGATAATTAACTTGTGGTTCTTGGTGCCCCCAGGCTGTTGACACATGTGCTGGAGGATGCACATACACCTTTACCATTTGTTCCAGTGTGGTCAACCTACGATAATTAACTTGTGGTTCTTGGTGCCCCCAGGCTGTTGACACATGTGCTGGAGGATGCACATACACCTTCTACCATTTGTTCTCTGTATTCAGAAATCAGTCGGTTCCAAGCAGTAAGGATCATTCTTCATAGATTCTTCTTAGGTTGCTTTCCAATCGGACAACGGTTGCTGTCGGATTACAATCAACCGAGAAATGATAAAACCCTTACAACTGTTCTCAAACCCTCACCGACAACCTTTAACGGCCTATGTAAACAACCAAACCAAGTAGTGGATAAACTTCAAGGGCTGGCACCCAGAAGGGTTACAGTCGTCATTGGGCGATTGATTGCTGCGTTGGGGCTCAACGTCTGCAATTGTTGGCCTGCCGTTGGTGGTCGAGGACAGTGCGCATGAACACAGATGGCGGTCTAGGGACACATATTTGAGCTTATGTGTGCTCTGTGACCTGCAGACTACTTCCATTGACCGCTGGTGTGTAACGGATCGCACATCATATCATGGCTGTCCCAAGGACCCTACTGCCTCTATCTGTTGAGCAGAGCCAATCTTTTTCAGTGTATCTTTATCACGACCACTACAATGGCCTGTGTCGTTGCATTATTTGCAGTGAGCCTGGGGAAACGCGAGCAAACAAGCTTCTATAATTGATAGGTGGTTACTCACGGCAAAAATGCTTTTCCTCTAGTGACTCTACACACCTCAGTCGGAGCATACACGCACCCCACCATAACTCGGTGCTTCTGTCTCCATGAAAGCAAAAATTTAGATAATTTAGTGCATCTTTATTTGCAGATCGTCCACTGGCGACTCGTCTGCTTCTCCCATGATTGCAGTATGGCCAGCTACGCTTCAAACATTTTCCATACCAGGTGACCCAGATTCTGTACGTTTAACCAGCCGATCGTTCTTGCCTACCACAATTGAGAACCAAACACTAGACTAACATGTTCTGCAAACTGGTCTGATAGCAGCTGCTGACGCAGCGCTTCTTCGAATCCTTCAAGCCTTGACCCAACCACACTGGAGCGCATTCTAGCCCCATTTCCGCCTCCCTGAACTACCTCGAAGCCTCCTTGTGGTCGGCTGGTAGTTAAATCCTCCGGCAGAAGCTTGTTTCGCTGCAAGTACGTCCGTCTTCTCTCGGTCTGTTGTGGCCGCATTCGGAGCCGCCTTTATCCTGCCTCAGAGAGTTGTCACAAGAGCATTCAACTAATGCCGTTTTGGCTCTAATCTAGCTTCCTCAAATACTTCATCAGGACTCCTGGAGAGTCCAAATAGCCCTATTCCCGAAACGCCTAGGCAACCAAATTCCGGTTTTGTGATTACGCATGATGCCAAAAAGAGAGGTGCCTCCGTGTGAGTTCACCAATAAGATAAGGAGCCACAGCCAATTAGAAAGGAAATTGAAAATCTCATCTGCACAAAGTTTTTGGAAAACAAGCGTTTTTATGAACTTTTTCGGCGTTCTTTGATTGGTGAACTTCAACAAGCAAGACCCTGCAAAACGTTTTATCAATTTTCATATTAGTCTTCCGTCGACTGCACGAAAGCGCCCCGACTCCAACCACGTGTTTAATCAGTAGTATACACCATTACACATTACCATCCACATCATGTGGATTGGCACTATGGCTATTGAGAACATCTATGAAGTCGCACCTTTTGATTCTTCTGTACGCTCGGTCATATGAGCACCATAAGTAGCGGTCTTGGTACTGATGTAACCAAACTGCATACGCACAGTCGAATATTACGACTCAAATATTAGCACCCAGGTGCTCTCTGTGGCCGCTGATTTTCCAGGTTTGTTTCCGACTGACCTGGCTGTTGCTGGCGTAGCTGCACCGGATTGGGCGATGAAGGTCCCCGGAATTCTCCTGTCCGTCCTCACCATTAGCGAAGCATAGCATTTTTAACAAGGGCCTTTGGCCAGTTGAGCAGGCCGTTGTAACCATTTATACTATGGAAAGTTTTGATGCCCTAAGGAAGCGAAACCGAAATTTTAGCCCACCCATAGGTCTTTAACCAGGTTTTTATACTGGATAGCTATTTTTCACGGTGCCAAACAGGCTTTCTTTTCTCCAGTAGGCCTAATCAGTGCTAGCCCCAGTTTGTAGAGCGTGCTTAGTCCTCATCTACATAGTCGTTCCGTCCAACGTTCGCCACTGTTTCACGTTTCCACAGTCCTATCTGAACTACCAGCCCACATGGGTATCTGAGACTGACTGTGACCCTCTTACTACAATCTGTAGTTTTCCTACTACCCTAGAACTCTCAAATGTATTCCACCAAATCAATCATTCCTCAATCTGCTCTAAAGTTTCTCATTATGACCGCTCCCGTCTTCCTCAAAGCGGTCGCTAGACCTCGAATCCCCATCAGCTATCCTCCTAGTATGTTCAAAGTAGCCCTTAGATCCAGAAAATACAGCTACCAACCCCCTCACCTCTCGAAGTCGGCAAAGACGATATACCAGGCAACCTCAGATTGTTCAATTGTTCTAACTGACAAATCCTTGCCTCCTCAACCCGGCAACACTCTCTTACCGTTGTCAGTAGGTTCTGAAGTCCTGAATGACCTAGAAAATCTCAAAACACGTGTGCGCCAAATGCAGAACGAAATGTCCTCCCCCCGAACCNCTACAATCGATTGCATGCCTTCTGAATCCTGACGCAACATGCAATCAAACAAACTTAGAAAAAGCGTCACTTCTTATTGACACCATAGCCACTGTGATTAGTCAACGCATCGAATGCCGGTATCAAGTCGTAATATTCAATGCATCCGACCGAATACCACTTGAGCATGCCAAAACTCCCATCCTGAATGCATGTGGCACGCAGGACACCATATGCAAAGCTCGGCGGCTCCGGAAGTTGAAACTATCTATGTGCTGCCCGATAGTAATGCAAATCCGGGATGAAAAAATGCTACGCGTCTGCTAACAGCCCGGACTCTTCTCTCATCTACCAAAAAATTCCATACCTTAAAACTTAAATCTGCTCATACAAGAATGCAGAGACAGCTTACCAAAAAGTCGCTTGAACCTGTTGCCCCGTCACCCACCAGTACTTGGGCTGTCGAGTGTCACAATGCCACGCAAAGCTGTCTGTTGGACTTACGTCCTGTACCCCGCGCTCATGACCATGAGCCTTCCACTCCTATCTCTGCGCATCCACAAATGTTATCTCTGACCTCCACCACGACAACGAGATTGACTGCTGATTTACGAGATATGGTAACTAATCAGCCCACACATGAGGCTGTGGTGGAGAATGATAGCACAGGTTTTCACTCTAGATCTCCTGTCCTAATGACACTTCGTGTCTCCCCACCAAAGCGCTTCCTTGGACTCAAGCACTCGCTGTCCAAGCCTGGCACCGTGACCCCTTCTCCTATACCAACTCCCCGAGCTCCCGCTCTTTGCCCTTCTAAAAACTCGACTAAACCCGTAATTCCTCATAAGCACATCTGTGAGCCCTCCAGCCTCTGTCAGTTTCCTGGCCCGGTCTCTAAACTACAACTACCGTTACGTAATCCTAGACCCTCTCAATTTCCGGCCCTCTGGAAACCTGCGTACAATATGCCTGGGATCCCTTTTCAGCACTACCTACT